TGAACTGAACATTTGAAATAACAGTATAAATTCTCCAACTCATTAACAAAACAAATCCAGTTTTAGATGTATAGTTACCATGAATTCATTCTGAAACTGTATTTCTCACCTGTCTCTCAGCTCTCTCTGCTATAGCTGCAACTGTATCATGGCCTTTATGTCCGTGCATCGTACACAAATAACAGACGCATGTTTGGTCAGTACGACAGTAGATCTCGATCAGTTTGTCGTGCTGAGAGCAGATCTTCTCTCGTAGTCGTGTGGAAGCTTTGACCAGCTTGTGGTTTTTCCAGGAAGGAACTTCATAGTGAGTTTTAAGATGAGTTTCACAAAAGGAGGCCAAACACATCAGACAGGACTTGATGGCTTTGAGTTTCCTCCCAGTGCAGAAATCACACTCCACATCTCCAGGTCCAGCGTAACAGTGAGCAGGAGAAGCAGCTCGGAGTTCTGTCTTCTTCAGTTCCTCCACCACTTCAGCCAGCATGTTGTTTCTGTGTAGAACAGGCCTCGGAGTGAAAGTCTCTCTGCACTGGGGGCAGCTGTAGACCCCCCTCTGATCATTCCGATCCCAGTAGCCATTAATACACACCATACAGAAACTGTGTCCACAGTGAATAGTTACTGGATCCTTCAGCAGATCCAGACAGACTGGACAGCTGAACTGGTCCTGATCTACTGAAATACTGGCCATTTTCCTGCCCTCACAGACTGAGAGAGAGCAGCTCTCTGAGATCAGTTCTGTTTCTGAACTGAGTAGGAGTGGCTTCATGATTCTGCAGTTCAGAGAGCAGAGAGAGAGGGCGGAGCAAATACATGTTGTTACTTTGCTCAAGGAGAACAGTCGAGCTGTATAACAGTGAGAGAGAGAGAGAGAGAGAGAGAGGGAGAGGGAGGGGGAGGGGGACGTTTCACTTATACATTTCCTACAGGAACTTATACCTACTTATACTTTCCTTCCTTAAGACAGACTGGGCCTTTTAACAGGCCTGTTAATGCCTTTTACATTCCAGATCCAGAATTTCAGATTTATACCAGTGGATGACATAGGCCAGGGATTCTTAACCTTTTCCACCCCGAGGCCCACCTGTTTATAAGTATAAAGCATAATGCCCCCCAGGATAACTAAAATCAACTGTTTAAAAAATATTTTTTTAAATAGTTTCTTTTTTCTTACACTGAAAACCTCTGAATTAGAGCCTGAAAAAGATCTTAATCACAGAAACCAAAATTTGCAGTTATGATAAAAAACATCACATGTTTGCAGCGATGTCAAAAAAGGGGGGAAACAGGAAAAAAAGGTAGATGTAGATGTGGATTGTGATTTGGAGCTGCAGTCCATCATGTTTTGACTGAAAATGCTCTTTTGGCTCTCCCAGAAGTGCAGCTGTTTGGTCTCTAAATGTCTCTTTAGTTTGGAGGGTTTTAGCGCCTCATCTGAAATAAACCTTATTCCACTCACTGGGCTTTTTGACTAGCATCGTCACAATCAACAATAATAATAAACCTTACTAGATATCTGCTTTTTTGTCATTAGATTATCATTTTGAGTTTAACTACTCAGGTCTTAACTATAATAATTTAACTACCGTTTGATGCAGTACATGGGTGGAGTGTTCACACAGGTCAGAACAGAGCAAACTAAATAAAAATTTGGATAGGTCAGCACCGAACGAGGTAGGGAGAAAGCGCCCTGAGAAATGTCTCTGGCTATCTGTCTGCACTGCGCTCCCGAGTCTTAAACTGACGAAGTTTCATTAGCCTGCGACTGCAGTGTTTTCATTTATATGTCTCTGCTGGCCCACTACAGACTACTGCCTCCCCCTGAGTACAGGCCTGCGGACCACTAGATGGTGCTTCATGGCCCACTGGTGGTCGCGGCCCACAGGTTGCGAAACCCTGACATAGGCAAATAAGTCCATAACAACCATGTGTACATTTGTAGATTGGCAATTATGAAACTATAAGAAGGAAAAATGAGACCTGAAATTAGAAAAGATACGGTCAACCAAGTGAGGTAACCAAAAGGCATGAAAAGAAACCCACTGCAAAAAAAATAACACTGGAAAAAATTACATTTCATGAATGTCTGCCAAGTCATATTATTCTTAATTTGATGAAAGAAATGTTTTTCTTTTTCTTTTTCCAAACGATTGTTAAATGCACAGTAGACCTCCTTTGACTGTGCAAATCCTGCGTTACTAAAGCTACTTGTAACTTTATTTTGTGTGTGCTGTGGCTGCTTTTGCCAAAAATGTCACAGCTGTTAATGCACTGCAAATAGCACCGACCACAGAATCAAAATCATACAGCTCCCAAACAACCAGGATGCACTCTGTGAAATATGTCATGTTAAATCATGTTAAATATTTTATGTTAACTCAACTCAGCACAGAACTCAAGTTCAGCTCATCCCACCAAGGGAAAAGGGACTTTACGAAAAAGAAAGTCAGAAAGACGCTTTCAAATGATTTAGGGTGAATATTGGTAAAGTCACACTTTCAAACAAGGTGTCTTATTTAGTACAGGGGTGGGGAACTGAGGGCCAGAGGCTAAAGAAATACCCTCGTTTTTAATTGTGAATAACTGCATTGTTTGTTAACCATTTTTCTTGCTAAACCACCTTGGCACAAGACCACAGCCATGTAAAATTCTCCATGTACAGAGAACTGATCAAGTTACCTTTCCAGAAGTTGTCATGCCCCTCTCTGAGAACACCTATCACCATTGCCTACATTAGAATGTCATGTATAATCTTGTCTTTGCATAGTATGGCCATTTTACTAGCAGTTCTGAGCCTTTGTTTTACATATAGCTTCTGCCTATTTTTCAGAACATTTTACTTGGATTTTTCTCTTTCTACAGGACTGTGTTTCTGGACTGACTCTTCACACTGTAGACTGTATGAACTGACAAAAACAAAAATAACGAAGAGTAAAACTAACAGTGCAACTTAAGGACTATAACAGCACATATAACAAGGCGAATCTGTAAAATAATCAATAGGAGTACATGGGGGTTCATACAAAACACAGGTGACACCAAAAGGAGAAGGATGCCTTCACAGTGAGCCTCCTGAACATCATCCTAATGATTGGTGTGGCTATTGACACAGGACTCAACTTCCAATTGCCCAGCTGGAAGTTGACTCCACAGTTCATGGGACCCTTAGAGATCATGCACAGAATGCCTGGCCATTGTTGTATATCACCCAGCAGTCATGTTACTATGTAGACTGGTGCAATGATCTGACGCCCCACATTCTGTTGAACTTGGATGAAATGCTGGCTTACACTTTTTGCAACAACTTGGATTCTTGTCATGCATCTCCTCACTGAGGTGTTTAAAAACTCCTGCAGCACTGCTGTGTCTGATCCACTCGCACCAGCGCAACACACACTAACACACCACCATGACGTCAGTGTCACTGCAGTGCTGAGAATGATCCACCACCCAAATAATACCTGCTCTTTGGTGGTCCTGTGAGGGTCCTGATCAATGAAGAACAGGGTGAAAGGAAGCTAAAGAAGTACGCAGAGAAACAGATGGACTAACTTTGGTACTATGAAGTGCAGATATATGGTAAGTGGAGCTGATAACATGGTCAATGAGTGTAGAAACAAGGAGGTGTTCCTAATAAAGTGCTCAGTGAGTGTAGATGCGTTTACAGAGCATGCATCAAACTCAGCAGCGTTACAGCTAAAACACTGAAATGTGGAGTGCTGTGGCCTTTTGTGTACAGCCTTTCAGTCCCGACACTCCCGCAGTGCTGCTGACCAAACAGAATTTCCAACATATTTCACAGCTCCTCTTACCATGTGGAGAGATTCTATAGATATATAGAGATTTGCTCACTTTATCAAATGAGAGATGTTGACTGATATTGGGAGAGTCTTCAGATCCAGAAGAGACACAGAGACTGCAGACTCTACACAAACAGAAATAATGAAAGAACATACTCCCATAATAGACAAAATTAATTTACCATACATAAGACAACTACATTTATATATTTTTATCATTTTTTAAATTCATTTATGGTATATATACACTGACTTGCCAGTTTATTAGGTACCTGTCTAGCTTTCACTTATACTCATTGCCCATTTTATTTACTTTGTAGGTTCTAAATGCAGCCCACTTGTTCCTGCACAATTTGTCATTCACCCTGTGAAATAGGAGGCGTCAGCATATTGGAAGGATCCATTTGCAGGTTTTATACAAAGTTCAATAATCCATAAAACTCAGTCCAAGAACAGGCAGGGGTCAGGCACCAGATGATGATGATCAAAAACATAACAATCAAAAGAAGCCAAGAAAACAGTCCAAAGAGAGAAAAACCCATACAAACAAGCAGAAAGACAAAAGTTAAAAATTACCCAAGACAAAGAAGACGAGGCTAAAGATGGCAAGGACATAACAACTGGCAATGCTTCACAAGGAGAGATGTTTTGGGAGGAGAGGTCATTAGTGAAAGGGGAAACAGGTGAGGGGAACGAGTGACAGACACAGCCTCAGAATTCGGGGGATGCTGACCTCTGGTGTCCAAAGTCGAGAGTGCTACTAACACACACCCTCAACAGGGAAACATCATAGGACTGCCACTGAAAAAGAACATTTGGGTGGTAAACAGCTGTAATACCAACATGGTAGTGAGTGTTGCACTGGTAAAAGTGTCTCAGGCACAGCAGTGTTGCTGGGGTTTTAAACAGACCTGACATACCAGCCATGCTATCAGAAACACCTACATTGTTGGCACACCTATGAACAATGTGTTCATAATAAACTGGTAACTCAGTGTATATAAAATCTTTATTACTGTTATAAGGAAAACAGAACTTTTAGGATGATCACGATTGTATTTCAGACAGTGGTTGTCACCTGTAACATCAAGTGCAGTTACTGTTGCTTGTGACTTGCTATAATAATTAATCACTAGAAGATGGACTAAAGTCCTTTACATGACCTCTGAAGGACAATGCTGGACCAATGAAGTTAACGTTGAAGGTAGCAATGAAGCAATAAAGTTTATTACTGTTGTTTGAATGAAGTCAGAGATTTGTAGGGACACATCTGCATTCTACACATATACAGTAAGACCCAGGAACAGTAGCACATTAAATAAAAGAATGAATCAATAGACTAAATATCGCAGAGTCAAACACTTTTAGTGTCATATAGTAAAAAAAAATGTAGTATATAATATTTACATGTAACATTATTTGGATTTAAATGAATGTCTCTGTTCTATTCAGTGGATCACAGAGACTCAACAATGTGGATATAAAGCAGTTCTGCAGTGATTTCCAGGTTCAGTCCTACAGGAACCCAAGTTTAGTGAGTCACATCATTAGCTAATGATCAAGTCCTTCTAGAGCTGAATCAGGTGTGATGGAACAGGAATAAACTAAACTGTGCAGGACTTTAGTGGGAACACTGATCTAGAAGTCAGTGGATTCAGCAGTGTGGATCTCTGCTGGTGGAAGCTCCGACTCTCAGAAGGCACTAAAAATGGAGAGGTCTTATCGTATTTTCATCTTTCTTTATTATGGCTCAATTGTCTCTCATGTCTTATTCCCTCCATTATGGAATATCACTGCAAAAATGCTAATTATTTAACTAAAGTTGTCTCTTTATATTGCCAGAAACATTTGATTGTTTTGAGAAATATGATTGAAACAACTGAAATAATCTGCCAATTTAATGAGAAACATTTACTTGATAAAATGACCTAAAACATGTATAGAAATAAGTTCAATAATCTTATAATAAGCCAATAACAATCTCAACATGAAAAATCTTAATATATTGACTAGGTTTAAGATACTTGAAAAGGCACCATTTTTGTGCAGTGATGGCCTTACAGCAGTGGTTCTCAGTGTCAGTCCTGAGCGACACCTGATCTACACAGTTTAGTAGTTTTAGTGCTTTAAAACAACACATTTAGTTCATCAACTGACCATCGAGACTTCTAGAATCTTCACTTTATAACTGAATCTACATCAAACAGGCATAAAATAATTTTTAAAAGCATCACTTGAGGGGGTTTGGTATCAGGACAGCTCATGTTCATGTTCGTGTTCACTATGAATGGTAATACTGGATTATAGAGCTTTAATGACGTCTAAACGAACTGACACTGTATTTTCAAGAATGAGTGGCACTGACAGTGAGATGAGCTAAAACACTTTGGAAATCCTGTTAAATTACAGAGTGATGTGACAATATAAAACTGTATGAACCCTGATCATTTATTCACTTATTTGCATTCCATTTGATTTACATTACAAAATGAGCCGCATGTGTCTAAAAATGCTATAATTCAAAACATCATTAGTGCACTATGAATTACATTTATATTTGTATTGCATTCTCTATTGACAGGTTTGAGCACTTCTGACTTTTATTATTTAATTCAGCAACAAAAATTAATGAAAACGTAAAAATGTAAAGCTTGCAAATAACAAGACAAAGGGCACAACAACTTTTCATTTAAAATCATTCAAATCACCAAATCTGCAGATTCAAAAAAATGTCTCCGTTTGTTTCACTGAGCTACAAATGAGAATTAATCAAAATGTAAGAAAAGGTGTGTCAGGGTATCTACACCAATGGAGACCTCGGTTCTATTATTAAAATACAATTGAAGTCTATTTTGGATTGCATAAAGTCACAGTAGATCCATAAGATGCAAGCCTGAATCCAGCATAGAGAGGCTGAGTGAAGGTGGTGTGGACTGTGTGTAGGAGGGTCATTGTATCAGAGACGCTGTAGAAGGACAGAGTTCCTGCTCTGTGATCCACATACACTCCTACTCTGGAGGAGGACGGGGCTGAGAGCTTAGTCTCAATGTTGTTGTGATAGAAAGAGAGAGAGGAAGAACAGCGCAGACTCCAGGACTGACTGTTGCGTCCAAACACACATTTATCACCTGATCCTTTCCTGCTGATCCCTTTATATGAGACTGATATGTATACATTTCCCAGACTGCTCCAGTTAACCTCCCAGTAACAGCGTCCACTCACACTCTCCTCACACAGAAGCTGATACCAGTGGTTAAATCTCTCTGGATGGTCAGAGTACAGCTGGACACTCTGACTGCATTTGACCACTCTGTTCTCCTCAGACAGAATGAGGCAGGGATTTGCTGTGTTGGGATCCAGAGTCAGCTGACAGAAATCTACAGAAGAAGAAGAGTTTAGTTTATATGGATTGGATGTTTTTACAGTACATTAACAAAAACTTTCAGTAAAATTCAGTAATTTCCTTAAATAGTGATGCTTGTTTGTTATCATACGTTTACATGGACAAGATCAATTTAGCTAAATACAACCAACTAACTAAACTAAATACCCAGAGAAGCAAGTAAACAGATAAACATAATCACAATGACCAGAGACTAAAAATGACCAGATTGAAATGGTAGTGGTAAAACAGTGTACTGATTTTTTACTGAAACAGGTCATATGTACAGTCCTAACAGTGTGTGTGTGTGTGTGTGTGTATGTGTGTGTGTGTGCGTGTGTGCGTGTGTGTGTGTGTGTGTGTGTGTGTTACGTACACTGTAGAAAGTCTTCTCTGGTTTGTGGTTCTGACAGTAAGATCTGAACTGCTGCAGCTGTGGAGACACAACACAATAAAGAATGAACAGCTACAACACAAAGACTAAAGAACATTTAGAACAGGATTACAGGAACACTTTCATATTTAATGCAGTGTAAAACTGTCTGCAGTGTTGCTGCAGTTCTTTTTCTCTCTGAAACATCTCTCAGTAATGCACCTCATCACAGATCAGTTGGTGTCACTTTCTTCTACAGTCCCTAAAGTTCTAGGTATTAACCAGGTAACTGTGAGGCACAAACTCCAAAGTTCTAGATTACATGATGGTAAGTTCTTCAAGGTAGTCTAACTAAATTACAATGGACTGCTCTACAGGTTCTAGGTATTAACTGGGTGATTATGCAGGGGTTACCTTAATCCCTACTAAAGTAAGTTTACTGTTAGTAAGAGCACCACAGACCTACTGGCCAGAGTTTATGGGAACCTACAAACTGACAAGATTTCCCACATCCCAGCCTTATGTGGCCACATACCTCCAAAACTGAGATGCTGTATTTATATGTCAACTAAAGTAGCTGACAAGCACCTGCAATAAAACACACGCAACAGTTTTTATTTTTAGCTGTTATTCCTAAACAATAAAGTAAGAAGAAAAAAAAAACACAGAACCTGTTTAGTTGGGATTACGTATTAATTAGGTACCAGGTGGTTATATAACGTGAGAAGATTGTACACAAATAAACTACAAGATTCTTACATAGTATGTACCTGTTTACCGATTATAAACAAAACTCTGGGCTATATAAGAACATAATGATTCTTACTGCGGTTTTACTGGGTTCTTACCACCAATATCAGAAAACTATCTTTGCATTTTGTCCCGTCACTGTACGCCATATACCTTCCCTGATACTTGGAGCTGTTTCTGATTTACTTTCCTACTTAAATGTGTGATGTTCCACTGAAATTTATTGTCTGTTTGTATTGATCACCTAATTACTCCAAATTTTTATGAAGTATTTTACTGTGTGCTGTATCTGCTTGATATCTAGAACCTGTTGGTCATTTAAGTGTAGTTTAGTTCAACTCTAAATGTACCATCATGTTACCCAAATCAATAGTGTTGTACTTGTACCTCACGCTTAACTGGTTAATACCTAAAATCTGGATAAAATAAATTGTTACTGATCAGTTTTTACCTGAACATGTATGTTTCATGCGATTTGCCGTATTGTTTTACACATGTGATTATTCAGTGGTGCTGCTAAGATTTGAGTGGCACATTTGAATGGAAACAATCCAGCAGATCATGATCACTGTGTGTGAGTGTGATCTCTCTATGAGAGCGTAATAATGTCAGGGTTCTCAAGACCTGAACATTTCTGTGTATCTAAGCTGATATTACAGAACATACATCAAACTCAGCAGAGTTAAAGCTAAATCACTAAACTGTGGAGTGCTGTGTCCTCCAGATACGCAGTATAAATCTCCACCCACCCCAGTTCACCCGGCTGCTGACCAAACATCATATTTCACAGCAGGACAGCTCCTCTTACCATGTGGAGAGATTCTGTTGAGTGTCTCTTCACAGAATTCCTCCAGTTGCTTCTTCAGATCAGACAGAGAATTGCTCACTTTATCAAATGAGAGATGTTGACTGATGAAGATTTTGGGAGAGTGTTTAGATTCAGAAGAGACACAAAGAGCCTGGAAACTCTACACAAAACAGAAATAAAGAAAGAAAATATCTAAAAAATAAAACAGATAAAACTACCAAAATATGCTTCTATAATATACATATATTATTAATATATTCCTTTTATGTATAGTGTATACAGTGTCTGTTTCCCTGCTTGTTGCAGAGCAGGCCATTGTTTAGTAAGCTGTATCACTGCTTGTAAGAACTACATTACCCAGAAAAACTTGCAAACTGAAACTTCAAAACTCACTTTGCCAGATGATAATCCCTGTGTGGGCCTATAGCGCCCTCTGTTGAATGTGCACTGTAGTACCTAACAGACCTTTTACTTTGTACCTTAGCATTGCCTGTTATTAGAATTCGTATTCAGAAAGTCGTTGATTGTATTGTCTAGATTGTTTATTCATATTTAATAATGTATAATGTATGTAGTAACGTATGTTACGTATCAAAGCTTCATGTTCATTCCTTTCTTCATGCACCTCTACACACCCTGACCCACATATTCAGAGCCTGTCTCTGTATGCTGAGCATCTTGTGGAGGTGACAGTTAAAGATTCTGACGAACTCAACCTGAGATTAGTCATCATCTGTCCTTCTGACCAGGAAGGTTTCAGGCACCAAGTTCACAGTACCCAGCAGGATCTTCACTACTGACTAAAGCAGTGTTTCTTAATTCTCTTCTTCACACCTGATCCAGATCATAGAGAGCAGAGATACCTGCTGATGAGCTGGATCAGGTGTGTTGATACAGAGAAGAGCTGAAGCTGCAGGGCAGTCATAGGATTATAAATAAGTGGCCTCAAGAAATAAATATACTAAAACTTTTAAGATAAACGAGTTCTTCTGTATATCAGACAGTGTTTGTTACCTGGAGGAAGTGGATGTGATCCTCTGTGTGTGAAAGCTGCTCCAGCTCAGTGTCTCTCCTCTTTAGATCAGCAATCTCCTGCTCCAGCTGTTCCATCAGCTCTTCAGCTCCACTCAGTTCAGTCTTCTCCTGAGCTCTGATCAGCTCTGTTACCTCAGAGCGCTTTTTCTCAATGGAGCAGATCAGCTCAGTAAAGATCCTCTCACTGTCCTCCACTGCTGTCTGTGCAGAGCTCTGTTAGGACACACACCGACCAGATGGAGGACCATTTAAAGGTATCAACCATCATTGACTCTCTTACTGAGTCTCTAGATCACTTTCATCTCTGCTCACTACTCACCTTAATAGTGTTCATAGCCTGTTTCAGCTCCTGCAGCTTCTTCTCTTTCTCCTGGATTCTCTTCTGGGATTCACTCTGTGTCTCCTTTAACTGACGCTGTGTTATACATGATAATCACAGTGAAGGTCAGTGGAAGCAAATGAGCAGTCCAGTTACTTCTGATCACCTAATCTGGGAGAGTGTGTTTGAAACCAGCTGTATATCCAATACATTTAATCCAATATGTTCATATCAGATTCAATGTGCTGAATTACACTGTTTCCAAAGTGCCACTGTTTTAATTATAGACTGTGACTAATCTTACTCATTTGAACCTGGTCTTTTTCTAACAAATCAAAATATATCATATAGAAAAAATGAAATAGTGTAGAAATATATTAAAGTTCTACTTCTTACCTGTTTCTCGGTTCTTTCTGCTGCAGCTGAGACTGTCCTGTGGCCGTTGTGTTGATCCAACATGCACAAATAACAGATGCATGTTTGGTCAGTACGACAGTAGATCTCGATCAGTTTGTCGTGCTGAGAGCAGATCTTCTCTCGTAGTCGTGTGGAAGCTTTGACCAGCTTGTGGTTTTTCCAGGAAGGAACTTCATAGTGAGTTTTAAGATGAGTTTCACAAAAGGAGGCCAAACACATCAGACAGGACTTGATGGCTTTGAGTTTCCTCCCAGTGCAGAAATCACACTCCACATCTCCAGGTCCAGCGTAACAGTGAGCAGGAGAAGCAGCTCGGAGTTCTGTCTTCTTCAGTTTCTCCACCACTTCAGCCAGCATGTTGTTTCTGCGTAGAACAGGCCTCGGAGTGAAAGTCTCTCTGCACTGGGGGCAACTATAGACCCCCCTCTGATCATCCTGATCCCAGCAGCCATTAATACACACCTTACAGTAACTGTGTCCACAGGGAATAGCCACTGGATCCTTCAGCAGATCCAGACAGACTGGACAGCTGAACTGGTCCTGATCTACTGAAATACTGGCCATTTTCCTGCACTCACAGACTGAGAGAGAGCAGCTCTCTGAGATCAGTTTCGTTTCCTCTGAACTGAGTAGGAGTGGCTTCATGATTCTGCAGGTCAGAGAGCACAGAGAGAGAGGGCGGAGCCAAACAGGCTGTTACACTGAAGGAGAACAGTCAAGCTGTATGATAGTGAAAAAAAAGGGTTTCACTGATACAGAAACAAACTGGGTTATTATTTGTGGCTGTTTACAGCATTTCTTGATTTTCCTCTTTGCAGAAAAACACTCTTTAATCTTATCTTCCTATAAGGGCCCAGGCTGGGGTTGGACGGTCTGCTAGGCCACTTCGACCACGAGAGGGAGGCACTGCACCATGATTACAGTCAATCAGTGACACTTGTTCCTCCTCTATTTAAGAGAAGCCAACTCCCACCTCTGTGCTCTGTCTTGGGTTCTCTAAGCTTGTAATTTAGTAAAGCCACTCACATTTTCTCCAGGGTCTCCCTTCTCCGTTACTTCTCTTGACTGTGCCAGAAGTAAACTCTTACGGATTCCTCTCTGTGTTTCTCTGGCTGTTCTTGCTTGGCTATTTCTTAAGTCTCTTTCTTTGGGGTTTCCAAAAAAATATTACTCAAAGAAAGTGCTGAGCTCCTCCTGTTTTCCCAGTCAGCCACTTGGTGTCCTCCATTTCCAGGGTTTATCTCTTTTACATCTTTGTTCTTTTCTTTCCCGTCTTCCCTTCATTTGGGAAACTCGTTTTGACCTTTGTTTTCCTTTTGCTCTCTGGTCTTATATTTGAAAGGTTCACCATTGTCCCCCAGTTGTCAGACCCCCACTGACAACACCACCAGACAACTGTGTTTGCTTTTTTAATTTTGTGTTGACTCTTATTCGTGAACAGCTCTGCACTTGAGTCTTTTACCCAGATTCTCAGTTGGTAGCTCACTCAGTTTATACTGGTCTCCAGAAGTGCAAGTAACAAATTACATTTACTCTCGTTACTGTAATTGAGTACAGTTTTCTCTGTAACGGTACTTTTTGGAGTAGAAATAAATCATAGTATTTTTACTTCACTACTTAAATTTTCATAACGTTACAGTGTAAAAATAAACTATGAGCGCATCAGCTTAGACCAGTATGAATGTAGCACGGTTAAAATTGGTAATGCTTTCTTTTACAGTCCCCTAAGTTCTAGGTATTAACCAGGTAAGTGTGAGGTACAAACTCCAAAGTACTAGGTAATTATTTTAGGTGACAAGATGGTAAGTACCAGGATAGTCTAAATTAATTACACCGAAATGTCTCACAGGTTCTAGGTATTACCCAGGTAAGGGTTGTGTTCATGTTGTGTTCATCATAAATTCAACAGAGAATTTACTGCAATAATCCTTGTGGTAAGTAACATGATATCATATCAGGGTCCCATATGGATTTTCAGCAAATCCATGTTAGGCTTGTACGTTCATAAAGAAAAAAAAACGTAATTTGGAAATTGGACAGATCTTTAAAATTAACTACCAAAAGCCTATTTTAACCCAACAGACTTAATTCCTGTCACACATAATAATTTACTTTAAAACTGAATTTACATTAGACAGTTATTATACCTTCCTGTTCAGAGTGGACAACCACTGGGCCTTTGGTGGAACGTTTTGTTGTCCTAATATTAGGCATGGCTCTGAAAAAAGCATAACAAAACAAGTTAAACTTTATAATGTGGATGTACTCTATGCATTTAACCAACAATAGTACATATGAATTAGCACTGAATTATTAACAAACAATAAGAGTCAGTCAACCCTATATGGCATGGTGCTGCCATGGCAACAATGACATACTCTGTGCTGATCAGTATGGCTTTAAAGTTTGCAAACAAGCATAAGATAAAGTTACATTTTTAGTTGAGTTTGATAATGTAACTTAGACCAGCTACACCATAAAAAATACAAAAGAAACCATTCCATACGTTGGTCAACCAAATAAATTTATCTAATCTAATTAACACCAGCTTAACTGTTAGGGTTGGCCAACTGACTAGACTGCAAGAATAACTTATGTCTCATACATTAACTACACCAGCTTTCTACTGTGAAAAAAACTGTATTGAATTTACCTGATTAAAAATGTACAGTGGCTGCACATGAATAAAACATGTTCCACCACCACTGTTGATGTCACCGTCTGTCAGTTTACTTACTAAATGCGTTGCTGAAATGAAAGTTTACTGTTTTTTTCATGTGCATTCGTTGCAACATTATACATTTGAATAAAGCAAGGGTACTAAACTTTTCATGTTGTGACATAAGCATCGTGGCCTAAATAACTGAATGAAGTAGTTTTACCTTGTCACTTTTCAGAACAATCCAAGACATTCCAACAGCATCAGTTGTTGATATCCGTCTTCTTGCAATGGAATGCTGGGAATAGAATCCAAAATAAGCCAATAGGGCAGCGCTCAGTCAATTAACCACCAGTCCTATTGGTTTGTTCGGACTCAAATGTCTGTTAGTGCTAAAAATATGACGTCCTAAATCGTTCCTCAAGCCCTATAAAGTGCACTACATAAACGATAAAGCCACGGATTTTACAGCAAAATATTGAACAAAATGTTAAATAGGTAATCGTGCAACGTATAGCTAAATATAAATCACTTTCTAAACGTGCAATGCGCTGTTTTGATATAGAATCTGATATTTTATTGTTTACATGGTTCACTACATGGGGAATAAGGAGCAATTTGGGACTCAGGCTAAAATTACTCAACCACTCGGGCTTTTCGCTTCGTCCTCCATATGTCATCAGTATTAATTAGGTAAATATTCAGTCTATTTAAAATTGTGGAACCCAGCGGGCATCATTATCGAGTCCCATTATCATGTACAAAGATTGTTGATGTTCATTATTTCAAACACATGACTCTGAATACTGAACTAATTCGGAAGGCTGGGAAAGGCGGCAAAGGCTTAATCAAATTAAGGCGTCTTATGTTCACCGTGCCAACACAGAATGAAGTTAACCAGAACAGGAACAACCAAGGATGGCTACCGATGGTAAGTCACTATTATACAGTGGCATGCAAAAGTTTGGGCACCCCTGGTAAAAATTTCTGTTACTGTGAATAACTAAAACATGACCTGATTTCCAAGAGGCATAAAGGTAAGAGGTAAAGGCCCAAAGCAAGTTTGGGCACTCTGCATGGTCAGTATTTAGTAACAGTAGAGTGCTAGGCAGCTGCTTAGAGGAGCCCATGGCTGCTGGTTATTGGGAGGTTTCAGGAGTAAGATTATTTATAAAGCTTTGATATTTACATTATCTGGCCTTTTCTAATGATGATTAGAAGCCATAGAGCTCAAATCTCTTGGGGTGCCCAAACTTTTGCATCAAGTTCCTTTCCATTTTTCAGTCTAAAACTTTGCAAAACAAAAATAATACACTGTTCTTGTTTAAAATGTTTAGCATTATGCCTTTTGGAGATCAGTTGATCTTCTGCTTATGTAGATGAGCGTATTACCAATATTACCAGAACAGCTTTCCTCCACCTGCGTAACATCGCTAAATTAAGAAATGCACTGTCGCCACAGGATGCAGAAACGTTAGTTCACGCCTTCATCACGTCCAGGTTAGATTACTGTAACGCTCTCCTTTCTGGTTGTTCCAGCCAAAACCTTAACAAGCTTCAGTTAGTCCAGAACGCTGCAGCCAGAGTTCTCAGCAAAACCAGGAAATTCGACCACATTAGCCCAATTTTTTGTATCTTACATTGGTTGCCAGTTAAATTCCGCATTAAGTACAAAATTCTTCTACTGACATATAAAGCTTTGAATGGCCTTGCTCCTCAGTACCTCAGTGACCTTATTTCCTATTATCAACCGACACGCTCACTTAGATCACAAGGTGCTGCTCATTATTAGTACCCAGAATAAATAAAGTTACGTCAGGGGGAAGAGCCTTTTCATACAAAGCCCCCCAGCTTTGGAATAACCTACCAGTCTGTGTTCGGGACTCAGATACAGCCTCCATCTTTAAGTCCAGGCTAAAAACTTACCTGTTTAGTCGAGCCTTTGGTTAATTTGTTTTCCTACCTATCTGTCCCCCTTATCCCCCCCCTTTTTCTTGTCCTGATTCTCTCATTCTTTAACCATTTTTAGTGCCTAGGGTGACTACACATCTGCGAAAAGTGTGTGGACCAGCAATAAGGCGACATGAGAGAAGAAGAAAAATAAAAATTGGAGGGCAGAGAGCTTTTGTTGGAATCAGTGAGAGCAAATTCAGACACAAAAGAAAGGTGAATATTGTTTAATTCTATATTTTGTTTAATACAGTGCATAATGGAATTCTCTTTTATTTGCTGTTGGTTTCTTTTTTCTTGTTTTTTTTTTAAAGTATGGACGAGGGAGGTGAGGACAGACTTGGCAAAGGAGGTCATAGGTTTTTGGCTTGCTGGAGGTGAAGCGTTCCACAAGGCGTCCCATATTAAAACTTGTGAAAAATCAATCTAGGAGGCGTTTACTCCAAATTGTAAGGAAGTATGTTAGATCCGGATCTCATATAATTAGTGATTCTTGGGGTGCCTACAACAGATTGGCTCAGCATGGATATAGCCACTATCAAGTCAATCACCAAAGACATTTTGTACATCCTGGGAATGGAGCTCACACCCAGCATATTGAAAGGGCCTGGCAAAATTACAAAGAGGACATCTGTAGATACAGAGGCAACTTGACAGAGAAGTCTCTAGAAATGAATTTAAAGTTTATAGAGTGGCATTATTGGCTGGGAAGACAACACAGGAATGGAATCCTTGGCCATTTTTTCAAAGACATTAGGGCATGATACAAGGTTTGAGGGTGAAAAATCTAGAAAGCCATCGGTAAATAAGTGAACATAAGCATTACTGTTTAGTTCTTTTCACAAAATTTGTAGTATCATGTTTTAATGGTATGATTTTCACTTCTCAGGACAGAGTAAGTGTCAATAATATTTTGTCTGAGATAAAAGATTTCTTGTACAGGGCAGGTTGCCTGCACTTACCAAATATACTGAAATGTTCAGTTATGTATGTATAGTTTACATTAG